CCCTGGAGAAGGGCATGGCGTTTGGTAAAGTGGAGGGGTAGTGAAAAGGAGGAAGACCCCCAGTAGGATGAGTTGATACCTTAGCTGCAACAACAGGCTCAAACATAAGAACAGTTGTTAGGCTGGTGAAGGACACGGAGATGTTTTGTTCAGTTGTACATAGGGTCGCTGTGAGTCAACTGACTCGATGGCATCTAACAACAACAACGGGGGGCATATTGTAATGATTTACGTGGACGTTGGGAGTAGAAATGGTGTCAGATATTTGCTTTGACTCATTCACCTCACTTCCTGGAACGTAACAGAAACTCAGTCTTTATGCTTCAGTAGAGAGATACAGAAGCACATGTAACACACACATACATCCTGTAATAAAGGAGTAAATTTAATAAATAATATTCTAATTTATTAGATTTTTTTTAGGCCTGTAAAAGATCCACAAGCACCAGCACTATGACCACCACCCAGGCCCTCCGCCCCCACCCCCACCCCCACCCCCCACAAAACCCTAAAACAAACTCAGTGCCATCAAGGTGATTTGGATTCATGGCAGTCCTATAAGGACTATGACCACCTGCTGCCATCAAATTGAGTTTTACTCAAGGCAACTCCATGTGTTTCAAAGTTAGCACTGTGCCCCATAGGATTTTCAGTGCCTGTTTTTGTTTGTTTTGTGCTTTAATTAAATTTATAAGCCTTTCTTTCGTGGTGGCTCTGGGGGGAAAAGAATATGCAAACTTCTAGTTAGCAGTTGAGCATGTTCATATCTTGCAGCGTGAGAGTCTTACTCATTATTAAAGACAGATTTCACATTTTCAGTCAGTGATACTGCTAGGGCTTTGTGAGGCTTTTGACTAAGCTTCTTTTGCATTCTGATAGAAGAGAATGAAATGAAAAATATAATTGTCTCACCTTAAGGAAAATACAAAGTAATAAGTACGATTATGGACAAAATTTCAAAGGAACAGCAAAACTAGCACAAGCTCACACTACATTTGACATTCCTGATTTCCCAGATAGCAGCAGATGGTGGCATGGTAGCTGGGATTGTGAATTTAGAGACTTGCAAAATCAAAGTTGATTATTGTCATGACTGAATTTCTAGGAATGAAGTATTGGAAATTATACATGACATAGCATATTTGGTCATATAGGTCTAGCTGTGAAAGAAATAAAGGGCCCAGGGGACACTGTTGGGTCAGAGTTGACTGGTGGTTTCAATGGCCTCTCAATACCACTGTGTGGTAGAGAAGCTGAGGCTGCCCGCTCCCGTAGAGATTCACAGCCCTGGAGACACTATTCAGGGTCCCTGTTTATTGGAATTGACTGACTGACAAGCAAGCGTGGAAGAGATAGGGTGTTCTGACATGGATAATGAAAGTCACTTAAGTGACAATCATTTCTTTTTGCCAGTTATCCAATTTGATATATTACAGCATTTTAATTAAGAACTTTATGTTTTCCAACCATTTTGCTTCTGTGTTTCTGTATACACCTTCAAGGAATAATAAAAAGAGAAAATGAAATTTAAAGAAATGTTTCTTTTAATCCATAATTTTCCATCACATGATACATCAAGGACTTCAAATACAGGGTGGCTCTGCCATTCTAGAAGACACGGATCTGGGGCATTTGTTCGAGGATTGCTTAACTGTCTTAATTTGCCTTTTCTATTTGAACTGATTATTTTGTAGAAATGTTAATTATTTGGCTCGGAAAAAGCATTTTTGTATTTTTAAAAAGAACCAAACATTTCCATTTGATTGAATATTATGCCTGGAAAAGTACTTATAACAATTTAACTCATTGCATTTTGGCAATGTAACTCTGCATAATTCAAATTTTTCCTCTGAGGATGATTATTCAGGTTAAAACTGAAGATATTCCCACTTCTGGGGATGCCATGTGTACAGAATAGAACTGCTCCCTTGGGTTTTCAAAGCTGTGACTTTTGGAAGACTGGTCACCAGGCCTCTCTTCCAAGGACCCTCCAGGTGGATTTCAATTGTATTCCAGTAGTTAACCATTTATACAACCCAGGGACTCCCTCAAGAGTAAAGATGTTAATCAACTCCCTGATATCCAGATAGCCTTTCTGTTAAAAACCCTAATTGCCACAGAAATAAGGGCTACTCCACTTGGTAGTGTTTGTTATGCAAGAACAGGTTCATATACTTAAAATAGAAATCTAGTTTTTGATGATAAATTCTAACAGTAATTAATAACGTGAAACAACTGCACATAAACAAATATGAATTTAAATTTTAATACTAGGAGTAATTTTATTTATACTGATGCCCTTTAGATTTTTTTTAAAAGGCACTTCAAGAGAGTAAATACATGACCCAATTAATTATCTTTGCTATTGTTCTATGTTTCTCCGACTGTAATTGGTATCTAGGATCACAAAGAAAGCAGAGAACCATGGCGGATTTAACTAAATCTCATATCCTAACCTTATTTCCCCCCCAGATATTCACTTATAGATAACTCTGTCACAGACTAGTCAAAGGCCTAAAATTGGTTACATCCTTCAACCCTTAGAAGACATTGTGATTGGGGACCCCCGGGGTGGGGGGATTTGGCAATAGTACCAGGGCCCTGAGGAATCAGAGCAGCTTAGTCCTTCAATTTTTTTCCTAAGCTGACCATTTAGATCAGCGGTTCTCAAC